ATTTTAGTGAACAATTGTTGCGCACCGAAAGTGTGTAAAGAAAGAAAAAAAAAACAATGGACGGTCGTTCAATTTGCTGTAGTTTTATTGTGTTGACAATAATTTTGATATTAATTATTCACTTTAAATTTGGCAACGATGATGAAGTTACACTCGGACAAAAATTACCACAAAATAATTGTCAACAAACGGAAGAACAATCGAAACAAGAATACCTCATCGAAAATAATCTAAATGATTTACGTTTTGACGACAATTTTACCGACATTGATGTGGTATCACGAAATGTAACAGTGCGCGCGCATAAGATTATTCTGGCGGCGCATAGTAAATATTTTGATTCAATGATATGGTTAAAAAATCAAACGAATCCAAATGATAAAATTGGTAAAAATCGATTGGATTTACCATATATTGACGACAAATCGGTTGTAAATGTTTTAAATTTCATTTACACTGGTTCCTTGCCGACGGAACTATTTGACAACGAAAGTGAATATAGTAATTTATTGAAAGCTGCAAATGAATTTCAATTGGATTGGCTAAAATGTGAAATTTCGAAGCGGCTCAGCATTCGAATAAATAATAAAAATGCCGGTTCACTTGTTGTTTTGGCAGAAGAGACGGATTCACGATTCATCATGATTTTTGCATCGCATTATTTGCTTGAACATTATCATGAAATTAGCAACACAACCGAATGGAAAGAATTGGTGAAAAATCATCCAAATATTATGGCAAATGCAATTGATTTTCAGGGAAAACTACCGATGAATACAAACTGTGACATTCAATGTGTACCATCAACCGTAGCCACTCCATCCATTTATACAAAACTTCGACGATTTTTTCTCACTCAACGTTATGCCGATGCTGAAGTTCATATTAAAAATGGGACTGATATCAATGTATTCCATGTGAATCGTGCCATACTTACCTCACAAAGTCCAGTGTTTCGACAACAATTTGCCAATTCAACAAATAATTCGATAACAATTTCCAACACCAGCAGTGATGTGGCACAAGATTTTCTTCTCCATATGTACAGCAGTTGGTCATCACAATTAAAAAATTTAACCATTGGACTACTCTACTTAAGTGATAAATACCAAATGGATGCATTGAAAAAAGCATGCGAAGACATTATCATTAAAGATATGAATGTGGAAAATGCAGCCACTCTTGTTATCGTAGCCGATACAGCACATTCAAATCGTATCTCATCGAAAATATTGGATTTTATACTGAAACATCGAAGTGAAGTCGTTGCAACGAAAGCATGGACGAAATTAAAAGGAGAACATCCAGAATTACTAGCCAAAATATTTTCTAATTTACATTAATTATTACGATGGATTAATCAATTAGTCATTGTCATGAATCATATAGTCTGTCCAATTTTCAAAAATTATTTTTATTCTTTAATTAAAGCCTTTTGAAACAATTAACCATACGAACAAATTTTGATGGCATTTTTATTTCAAAATTAAAATTAACCGCTAGTTCTTATCTGCACACCGGCACACTTGGCTATAACAATAACAATAACATCAAATACAATGGCAAGTACATCACTTGAACTACTCTACTTGAACTCATCTGAGCTTATTTCTCTCTCTCTCTCTCTCTCTCTCTCTCTCTCTCTCTCTCATAGACTTTGACAGTATTGTTCATAGTATATGTGTGTTTGACAGATTTCTACGTGCGGGTCAACATAACCTAAACTTCTTTATGTATATTACTGAAGCGTCAAATAGAATAGATCATTTCAGTACACATTTTGTTTTGTAAATAAAATTGTGTGTGAATAATAAAAATGCAAGAAATTAACGGTTCACAATGGGACATTATGATGAATGTGCTCATCGACAGTGGAAAATATTTGGATAAAAATGCATACGCTTTTTCGGATGAAATGGGCACAGTTGATTTTTTAAATCAAAATCCCGATGTCAGGTGAGCATTCAATGCAACATTGATGTGCAAGCATTTTTTTTAAATTCAATTTTTGAATTCAACAGTAAGATTCTTCGTCGATGGATTGTTAAATTGAATGAAACACGTCCACGTTCCACCGATCTCACGAATCGACTTCGTCAAGGTGGTAATCAATACTTTGCAGAAATTACCGAACCATTCGATGTTGCCGCCGATTACTATACAAAGGCCATATTTAGTGCACCAAAGAATAGCGTCGAACTTGGAATGGCTCACGCAAATCGTGCCGCATGTTTTTTGCGAATTCTTGATTTCATGGAGGTAATTCCAATTGATATCATTGAGAGAATGTATAAATTCAATTTTTTGTGTCCCATCTTTTAGGAAGGTTACTATGATTGTGAGCTTGCATTAAAGTATAATTATCCAATAAATAAACGCGATAAATTGCTAGATCGAAAATTTTATCTAGCCAAAGATGTAGCTAAATGTGAAGAGACCATTCACGAAATGGAAGAATTAATCGAAAAGAAAATATTCACTGAAAAACAAATGAAATGTAAGACCACATTCAAAGTGTTCGGAATGTTTAAATGCCGAAACAAATTATTCAATTCAAGATGATGAACTTATTTTGTAATTTTTTTTCCATTACATTTTGTAGTATCTTTGCGTCGCAAACAACTTGAAGAAATGAGAAATCGGCCGAATGAATCAAGCGAAACAACAAAAAATGTTGAAAACTACAAGCAAATGATTATGTTAGTTGAAATATTTTTTACCAAATACGATTATCTGTCTTCTAATAAATCGGAAATTTTAGAAAAACCGGAGAATCAGTTGGTCGATATGTTGTTGCTGGCGAAGATATAAAAAAGGAGGAAATAATTTTTCGTGAAAAAGCATTCGCATTTGTGCCAGTTTACAATGATTATCATCCGGATACCATTCTATATCATTGTCAAAATTGTGCCAAAACAAATTGTATCCCATTTCCATGCAATGAATGTGTTCGTGCAACATACTGTAGTCCATTATGTGTTGAACGACACAAAGCTATCCACAAGTATGAATGTGTCGGTTATCAGAAGAATTTATGGATGAAAATTGGTATTGCACATTTGTCATTTCGTAATTTTCTGGTTGGTTTTGCGGACGCAATCGAAAGACTCGATGAAATCGAATCGACACCGATGCAGGTATTCGAGAAATTGTCATCAATAAACGAACCGGATTTTGTGTATGGCGATGTATTGCGGCTTGTCACGAATTTTGATAAAATGGATATCAATGATTGTTTGCGCTATGCACTGACCGCTGAATTATTAGCGGCCTATTTGGACGAATGCACCGATTTCTATACAAATTTACCGGCAAAATGTTCAAAAATACTGGCGACCACTGAATGGAAAAAAATCACAGCAGCCCTCTTAATGCGACACATGGGCCAATTGGTAAAATTACAATCATATCATATAATGTGAACATACACAACATATATTTTTTTATTTGTTAAGGTATGCAATGGTCATGCAATTGGTGATTTTGAATTAATGCCACCGTCACATTGCGATTACAGGTAAATAAGAAGAAATAATATATGTTAAAATCCATTAAAATCTATCCACATTGTATATTACAGTTATCGTGATACCGGAACCATTATGGTAAGCGATATTCATCTTGTGGTATCGTTTAACCGTGTTTTTACCGCCATTTGTCCGACCGTCAGTATGCTCAATCATTCATGCAAACAAAATGTTTATAATAAATTCGATGGTGAATATTTAAGCATTTATGCGCGTTACAATATTGCCAAAGGTGCAGAAATTTTAAATTGTTACGGACCAAATTTTAAGCTATTTTCGAAATTAGAACGTCAAGCATTGCTCAAGCAGCAATATAGCTTTGATTGTAAATGTGAAAAATGCTTAAGTGACGATCAAACATTCATGAAATTTTATGAATATATTTGCCCAAATGAGAATTGTCGCGCAGCAATTTCAATCGATGTTGATCATCAATGGTGGTATAATTTAGACGATCATCATCTTATGTCACAAATCGCTGGAAAATTTCATTGTAAAAAATGCAAAAAGATTTTTCTATTAAATCCAAGATCGTTGAGAGAATTCTATGAAATGACCAACACCGAAAATGATTTGGAATTCCAATTTTATCGAAAACGACGAAAAACCGAAGCGGCTATATCTTATTACATGACCGTTTCAAAGTGTTTGAGCAAATATCATGAATTGAAAACATTCATGGCAAAAGCGATACTCAGCTACCAAATGAATGGTAAGTTTTTCAAGCAAGCCGAATTTACAGCAATAAAATTAAAAAATAATGAAAAAAAAAAAAATCTATTTTCAGCTGATCAAAAAGAATTATTCAACTCACTTGCCTACATTGCAATGGATAACTATGTTATAACACGAGAAAAATTCGGTCCATATAGTTTGGAATTAATAATGGCATCAACATATGCATTGAATATATTAAAAATGGCAAAAGTCATCGAACAAGATAAAAAATCACAAAATCAATTGGCTGAAATTCGAAAAATCCGAAAAGTGCTCGATATAAGAAAAATGTACAAATCATTCGCATTATTATCGAAACAAATGCAAATCGTATTCAAGAATGCCATCAAAGAAATCGATGAAACACCCCAGCTGGATGAACTAACATCTAAATTAAATCTTAACAACGATGATGAAATCTATAGCGAAGACTCGGATTCGATAGACTAATTCCAAAAATGTGAATCACATCATTTTTAGTTTATAAGATAAAAAAAAGCACTGTAAATAACTGAATTGAATAATAAAATACAAGAATATCAAAAAATTTGAAAAGAAAATATCTCATAATAGAATGCATTTGTACAAAAAATGTCCGAGACAACTTTTATCAAAGCAAATACGCTCAATTTATAGTGAATTATCTTTTTAAAAAAATCCAAACTAATTTCCAATATCAATTTGTTATGGTTGTGGCTTACACTTTAACCTAATCGGTTTTTAAATTTTATCTCTTCATTTGTCGAGTTGGGTGTCAACGATTTCAGGTTTTCTATACGTATTTATTTCAATACCCACATAAATATAACATTGCTACGATCCAGCTAGATTAGAGTGATAATGTTATGTGGTTTGTGATGCGCAGTGTGCATACCAACGTTCGATGTAAATTAGTTGTTGTTCATATTTAGACGCGTGATCATCGTTCGCCTGCAACAGATTGTGTTTTTCTTTGTTATTTCGAGATTTTTTTTTTATTGAATTTTATTGGATATGTCGGAAGGTGCATTTAAAAATATTGAAGATAGCTTGCGGAAACATTTACCCGAAGCTGAATTAAAAGAAGTCAAACGGATTTTATACGGGAGATCTGATGAGTGAGTTCATTTGCGATAATTTGAGTGAAAATTAAATAATGACCGTGCATCAATCAAACAAATGATTGTCGTTTCATAAAACGATAATTTTTTTATAAACAATCATTGTATAAACCAACAATCAAAGGTTTACATCTTTGAATTTAAAATTTTGTTATTAATTCTTTATTGTATGCATTGATATTGACACTTGTATTTGCCTGTCGAATGGAAACGTAGCAATGAATTGAAATTGGAGCCAAAAACGCTTGATATTGCGCAGAAAAATAATTTCGAAGTAAAAGCCTATTCGTTCGATGCAAAGTCAGAAGAACTCAGAAAACCGCGTATCGTCCGGGTAATTCACGTCAATTTGATTTCTGTTTATTTTCAATTGCAATTTTCACATAATCAAAATTATGAAATTAGGTAGCAGCGGTGCAACATTCAATTGTTTTGTCAACCACGGAAAAAATCGGCGCCCAACGCGATGCAATTGTTGAAAAAATCACAAAAATTGTTGAAGCAGCAGCCGCATCAAATGTTAATATCATTTGTTTCCAAGAGGCATGGAGTAAGTTCTCGAATTTGTGTGTGCATGTATTTTTTTCTTTCTTTTGTATAAATACGGCACACACGATTTATAAATATCTCATGTTTATAAAACGAATTCTATGATGAAAACGAAAAGACGTATACAAAAGAAAAGAAAAACATGACGCAATTTTTTGTTTATATTTTTTCTCTATTTTATTCGTTCTATGCGGCAAACATTGGTTTGAAATCGGTCGAATATTTTGAATGTTCGTTCTTTTGAATAATTGTAATTTACGAACTTCACGGCGTTTGAAAAAAAAAAAATCAACAATTTGTCAATGAATGAAGAAATTGAAAGAAAAATATAAAAACAGCAATGCGATTAATTTTCAAAAAAAATGCTCACAGCTATGCCATTTGCATTTTGTACTCGCGAGAAACATCCATGGTGTGAATTTGCTGAAGAAGCCGAAACCGGTCAAACCACCGTTCTTTTGCAAGATGTAAATCAATCGCTTATATGCCACGAAACAAGTATAACATTTCATAAATTCTTCGAATTTTAGTTGGCCAAATTGTATGGTATGGTAATAATTTCACCGATTTTGGAACGGGATTCCAATCACGGTGACACAATTTGGAATACAGCTGTTGTGATATCAAGTTCCGGAAAATATCTTGGTAAACATCGTAAAAATCACATTCCAAGAGTTGGTGACTTCAACGAGTCAACATATTATCTGGAAGGTACATTTTATCATCCATTTTTCTGTGTTTTGTAACACTAGGCCATTCATTTATCTTTAAACAAATGTCAATGAGTTTTATTAATTTTTAAAGGAAATACTGGTCATCCGGTATTTGAAACCGAATTCGGTAAAATTGCTATTAATATTTGCTATGGTCGTCATCATCCACAAAATTGGATGATGTTTGGCATTAATGGGGCCGAAATTGTTTTTAATCCATCGGCAACGGTATGTTTCACATAAATTGTTTATATTTTTCATCAATTGGTAATCGTTTTAAATCCATTGAATGTTTTGGCTGGCATTTAGGTTGGTGCATTGAGTGAACCACTGTGGGGAATTGAAGCACGTAATGCAGCTATCGCCAATAGCTATTTCACCGTTGCCATTAATCGTGTGGGCACGGAACATTTTTCAAATGAATTTACATCGGCCGATGGAAAGGCGGCGCATAAAGATTTTGGCCCATTCTATGGATCAAGCTATGTAACGGCACCGAATGGCGTTCGAACACCGGTTTGTTTCAATGTTACTTTCAAATTTTGTTAAATAAAAAATAATTTGTAAAAATTGCAGGGATTGTCACGTGATGAGGATGGTTTATTGATAGTTGAAATGGATTTGAATTTGTGTCGCCAAGTGAAAGATTTCTGGGGATTCCGAATGACACAACGATTGGCCGAGTATGGTCGTGATTTTAGCCGAGCTGCTGAAGACAATTACCAACCACAAACGATCAGTTGAGGAAAAATCTTTCTATATTGTTTTTTTTTCAATTGAAATTTTTTATTGTCAAATAAATAAATATACATTGTTGAAATGTTTAAATCTGTGTGTTTTTCTTTCGGTTTCTTCGGTTCATTTATCTTTTTTATGTTTCATAACAAACACGCGCGGTAGAAATTGAATTCGGATAGTTCTTTGAATCGGATTATTTGTTAAATTATTTTGAAAGGAAAGGAAAAGATTTTTTTTTAATGGTTCTAAAATGATGCGACAGTATTTTTGAAACGTTACACTTTTTTACAGAATTGAAAGGTGATATTCGACTCAGTCGGTTTAGATTCATAAAATAATTTTCTTATTTTTTTTTTTTTTTTGTTTGGTTGAATAAAATCTTGTCGTTTGCTTACATTTGAATTCGGATGAAATTCAGATTGAAAATGCTTGCAACCAATTTGAACACTTATGTACAATATGCTTTTATTAATGTGTAAAATAAACTTGAACTCAAATTGCATTCATTTTGCCATTCTAATTATTTCTATTTGTTGTCTTGGTCTGAGTTTAAAACTGAGTGTATTTTTCGTCTTCATTTTTATCATTTTAAATAGTTTATTGATTTGGTGTAAAGCTTTCATTATAATCAGTTTACTGGGATTTTTTTTTTTGTTTATTTCATTTTGGATGGCTTAAAATAATTCCGCTAAAGGTGACTAGTCTCTGTCTAGTCTTTTATTTGGTTTTCTATTAAGGGAATTCGTTCAATTTTTGGAACATATTTTTGTTTGAAAATTGTCCATTTACCTCCTTTTTTGGCCATGTCTAAATCTACACCGAGCGAGAGAAAAATTAGCATGACAGAATTGGTTAGATAAAAAATATTGTTTTTAGATCGAGAGTACGTGAATGAAAACTGTCTGTTAAGTTGTTGCCTTTGTACAGTTTGTATCTAAATGAAATTTAATCAATATTTCCAAACTGTGTATACGAAGCTCCAGCTCTGCTCGTTTCTGACAATAGCCAAAATGCCTACATTTTTTTATATTGCAAACGGCGCCGAATGTTTATATCATTTATCTCTGCAAATTTTTTTGTGTTTTTTCTTTAATTAGATTTCTTTTATTTTTTTTAAAACTATAAATATATATATATTTTTAAATACTACAACAAAAATATCTCTTTTTGCACGTAAATTTTAAATGTTCATTTTTTTCTCTCATTTTCTTAGTGGAGGGGATCATTGAAATGATGAGCAGCCTTTGTTGCTCGGTAAAATTAATTAGTTTCGTTTACAGTTAATGTATATATATAATATATATAATTTTTATTTAAATTCAACTCGACTTTATGCTATCATAATATTCGGAGGTAATTTGGGACACTAATTTCATTGATGACCGGCGAGATGATTGAGGGTCGATTTGATTTTATTGCACCCATGATGATGGTGCCCATAATGGCTCCGATTCGGCACGTTCTACGCATACCAACAATTGTTCCAAGGCAGTGGCCAAATTGTCATTCACAATTTCTTCATCGAAGAAATGTCCATACAAAAAATTAATGCGCTCATCCGAATGAATCATTTCATTGAATTCTTCATCCTAATTCATGAAAAAAAAGTTTGAGAAAAAATTTGTACCAAATGCGTTGAAAACATACCGTGAAACCTCTCGAATTTAAATCATCAAATGTTGATCGTGCTCGATTTGCTTCTCGTGTCGCTTTCAATCGATTGAATGGCGGTGTTCGAATATGAATGATGAATGGCTTCAATTGTGGTGTGCGCAACGATTTAATTGCTTGATAATGTGGGCTAAGCACACAAACATGTCCTGAATTTACAATTGCTTTAACACTTTCCGCTGCTGTGCCATACAAATGACCTTTGTATTCGCCACTTTCGATAAATTTACCGGCCGATACGTCGGTCTCCATTCGATCGCGCGTTACAAATAAATATTCACGTCCCGGAATTTCACCAGGTCGCATTGCACGTGTTGTATCTGTTGTCAATGTTAATCGAATGTAAACAAAAATAAATGTTTGAACTCGTTTTTTTTTCTCGCTCATTTCAAATGGAAATACTTACATGGCACTGGGCTACGATATTTTTCTGGATCACGAGCAACCAGTCGTCGTTTCAGTTCGTTACGTCCAACGCCAGGTGCGCCAATTAGTACAATTGGCCGATAAACACCGGGTCGTGGATACAATTTTGACACTTCTTCGTATGTGGCGATGAGCTCTCGATCGAAATCATCATTTTCATCTAGGTTGTACATAATCTTTTTAGTTTTTGGTCCACGACACGTGATTGTATTTGATGAATCAGGTGAAGGGGGTGGTGTCGAACAGATTGATGCACATGAACCTTATGTATTATGGTTTTTTCGTGCAAAATATTTTCGAATTTTATGATGTGTGATTAAAAAACGTATTTGCCAATGGATGATAGTTTTAGTACAGCAGCACATTGGTGGGGAGAAAGGTTTAAATGATTTGATTTTTTTTTGTTGTTGTTGTTGATGGGGGATAAAACAAAGAATATAAATATTGATTATTTGATTGAAAAGAACATGCAGTGCAAACATAACAATGACGATGATTTAATGTAAAATGAAATGATATTTACTTTTTGTGTCTCCGTTCGTTTCCTTTTGTGTACGCTCATAGATAATTCGTCGTTCCTGTAAAGCCCTACTCGGTATCAAACCGGCTCTCGACGTTCGTTCGCACTCTTTTCGTGCTTGCCACCAATAACCATCGTCCTGCAATTTTATTTGTTGACGTTGAAATATTGAAAAGTTTCATAAATTAATAAATTATTATTGAAATATAAATGAATTATTGTTGTATTGAAAATATGTGGAAATTGATGTTATTTATGATTACAACAACACATTTTTTCTAACGTACCTGTCCAACGATATGCAAAATTTCACCACGTATGAAACCCAAACCAGCCTCTTTGCATGGTATATACGGATCATTTTCAGGATTATAATCAAAATGTGCACGAACACGAATTTTACTTTCACGCTGTCCACCTTTACCGTCTGATGGCACTAATTTGAATGTAATCGTTCCCTCTGAATTTTGCTGCATAAATGACAACATTGATTTTTTTTTGTGATTAAAACAGTTATAAACATATCATGATGCATTAAAACAGAAGTTACAAAATTAAAAAAGAGTGTCTTTTAACAAGACGAAGTTTAATTGAAAAATATTGATTGAGTGTTTTTTTTAAATATAAAACAGAGATTTGCATACCAAAATAGTTAGGACATCGTTTGGTGTTTTCCCCTCAACATTAATGCCGTTCACCTCAATCACTTCATCACCAACATGTATCAAACCCGATCGATCGGCCGCACCTCCATGCATGATACGAGCGATGATAATTTTTCCGGTTTCTTCATCAGTTTTAATAGTGGCACCCTGCAAAACGTATGCATATTGACAAAATTAATCGACCATTTGGTTCGGTTCATGCATTCACACCTATATTACAGCTACATTATTAAGTCTACATATTACAAGACTTCGCATTTGGTGCAAATAACAACACATTTATTTGTGAAAACTTCATGAAACATTCAAATACATTTTATATATTTCAATTGGAAAACGATTCGTTTTCATGAAATTTTCATCGATAGCCAATCGTCCATTGGCATAAAATGCCTAATTGTTACTAGACGTTCTACGAAAAAAAAATTGCTTTTTTCTGTCATTTTCCATCGATTTATCTTTTTAAATAAACATACACAAATATGAAACATTCACAACACAAACGTTACTTACTACTATTGGCTCCGCACTTTGTGCTCCAACCTTTTATTCGGTTTAATTTTGTTTTATTGTTTTTCGATTTTGAATGTTTGTGTCAATTATTGTGGTTTTGATTTTCATTTTGAATGTTGTATTTTATTGCGCGTAATTAGCAATTTTGTTATTTTTTTCATAAACGAGGTAGTTTTTTTTGTTCAATTTGTTTGTTTGGTTCAAGACACGGAAAAAAGTATTCGAAATTATTATTATTAATCAAATTATCATTTGGAATCAATATATTTTTCAGAGATGATTGATGATTTTTAATTTAGACTCGAACATGAATGAAATATTATGGAATGAATTTAATAAAAGAAAAAACCAAGCAAAAATAAAAAAACGAACGAATTTCATTTTGAAACAGAACAATAACCATAACTGAAATGAACAAAAAATTGATTTTTGATTGCATACTGATCCATTGTGGTGCATTATTGATTGTGTGTTTGTTTGTTTTGTGTAAATGTGTGTGTGTATAGGTAGAGTGTGTGTGTCATTTTCATCGTTTATTTGTGTGTTGATCTCTTGATCTGAATTAATTTGTGTATGTTTTTTATATATTTCACAAAGGGAACAGAAACCATTTGTGGCAATATTAATAAAAAAAAGAGTTAATGTTATGGGAAGAAAATATAAAAACAAAAATTCATTTTTTGAAACGGAAACAAGATGATTTTTAATGCTCATTACTAAATGGAAAACTTGAAAGAAAAAAAAACCCGAAGATATAATAATGATCGTACCAGTGGTTCATTGCTTTTCACCAATTGTACTATTTTCACAGTTTCCTCATCTTCGTCCACTTCTATCGGGATATCAGGCAGATGTGGGTAAAAATCTTTCTGTGCGATTGCATCATGAGTGGCCAATAGACTCTACATCAATGACAAACCAAACAATTGAAATGGTTTATTTATTATCAAAATGAAACAAAAATGCTATATCCATTTGAAAGTGCAAGCTATCCACTTTTTCGATCAAAGATCTTACCTGAACATGAGGTCTTTGTAATAAATAAAACATTTCCTTGCATATTGGCGAAATATGGCACCGCTGTGATAAATGCTCCAACACATCTAATGCTACCTGCAAAATTCACATGTCATTTCAATTGCATGCACACATTGATTGGCACATTTAATTACCTGTATTGAGCTTGACATAAGTGGTGCACATTTATTATCTTTGCACACTTTTGCAACTTTGCTATGTACATTCACCAGTGCATTTATTTCCTTTGATTCCAATAGATTTTGCAGGAAATGTAATTCCTGTTCGCTGGACAAACTTTCAGCTTCTTTCAATGATGTCACTAATTTTGACAAAACTGCAATGAAAACCAATAGATAATCATCATAAAAGAGGAACACCATTGAAACAGAAAAGAGTTGAAATCAACGATTTTATTTGCCTACAGCCAATATACGATTAAAAAATATAGAACGTTGTTTCGACTCTCATTTTTTCTTCTTCATTTATCTTCTTATGCATTTTACGAAGAACTCTTAAGAATTTTTATCGTCGAATGATTCGGACAAAAATCATTTCATCGTAAATTTAATTCGAAGCTAGAATGGTATGCAGATAGAATCTGCTTGTATGTTTAGAATTATAAAAATAAAGTTGGTAAAAAGATAAAAAAACAATGGAACCGAAACTTTTTCAAACAATTTGACTGAATAAGCTTTTTAATTCAAATGAAATGAAATGGAATACATTGCTTCAAATGCAATTTCCAACTGACAACCAGCTCTCGGTACATGTTGGTTGAGATACATTTTTGATATGTTTCATGCATGTTTAATGTTCAGCGTTTCTTTATTGAAAATGAAAATTGACGCTAATGTTATTCGACGCTTCAAATCAGATACATTTGTGAACACATGCGGAAAAAAGACAAAAAATACATTGAAATCATTCGAAAATCGACGGAACTGTATTTTTTTACATGGTAACCTTGATTTCAAAACAAAAAAAATGGATGATTTCTTGAATGCTCATACACGATTTGACTAAGATCTCAGCAAAATTGCGTTGAAAATATTTTTTTAGATAAAGTACATATGTTCTTTTAATTTAATTTACCTGGATCATAACTAGCATCGGCAGCCATAGCTGCAGCTGTCATGCTAAAATATCTGTTGGATTTGAGAGAAATAAAACAATTAGATTTGAGCATAAGTGAAAGCTGAAAATTTCAATAACTAAATATACGTTGACTGTGTTTTCGATCAGGATATGAGCAATTTCCTCGCAAAAAATTGGACATCATGAAATTCAATTTACGAATATTTTATTCTTCGTATTTAATATGCAAGCGCCGAATAAAATAGAACACAGCACATATCAACATTCTAACAAACGAATATAAAAATATGTTAAGTTTTTTTTTTCATTTTATTTTATGTTGAATTCCATTTTTTCGAGCACTCTTGCATGCTTTTAAATGCAGCATTTCTTGTTGTCAATTATATTTAAAATAGACACTATGCGCTCTCTCTCTATTTCTCTGTATGTGTTTTATTTTCTCATTCTTTGTATTCGGTGTCATTTAACAGTATAAATTAATTATTCGCTTGTCGTCTTTCAACACCATTATAGTGTAAAGCCGAAGTAGCAAGCGTTATTTTTAGTCAGTAGGTCGTTGCTTTAAAAATGTTTTACGCGCAAAGAACTCCTAGTCGATATGTTGGGGACGCATTGCGTTAATTTTGTAAGTAAGGTACAGTGCATTTCATATTTTCTTTCTCTCTCTCTCTCACTCTTTCATTTGACTAGAAAGCACGATCATTCGAAACATAATCAAATCAATTGAACCTATTAGGGAATAAAATTTGCAGTGTCGAGTTGGCAAAATGGCAAACCGTATGTGTTAAAATACGGTTGAACTCATTTTCGGCACACCATTGAGAAATTGGTGTAGCAACCACATTTTGGCTTGCATTCAAAATGATTGTAAAATATATGGTTGGTTGAACAAATCTTTGAATTGTAATTTTCAAAATACACGCACACATTTCATAGAGTGCATCTTACGCAATTGTCACACTTTTATAGGAAAATAATGCTGAGTAAGAGAGAATCCATATTTTAAATTATGCTGATATAATCAGTGGTGGTTTTCATTCAGACATTATAATGAGATATTTTCAGTCAGATGATTCAGTTCAGCCAGATACCGTCAGGAGCTGAAATTTAGTGAAAACAATAGAAGTGATTGTTATGTTTATTATTACACTTACATTGTCACAATCAATATAACAATCACTTTTATTGTTTTCACTCCATTTCAGCTCCTGACGATATCTGGCTGAGCTGATTCATCTGGCTGAAAATATCTCATTATAATGTCTGTTTTCATTTAAAATGATTTGCAGAAATTTTTATAATATTGTACAATAAAAAGAATCGAGCGGACTTTTCAGAATGACACACACACATACATCGAGTGAAAATGGGATAAATCCTTCTCACTGGACCACAATTTTCACACTGCATACTCTGCAAATGATATACGACACTATATAGGACCACGTGTGAGGTATTATTATTATTATTTTTTTTTTTTTTTCAAAATGATGTCGATGAAAGCAGCAAATAAAACTAAAAGTTGGTTTTGTGGTGTCGTTTATACGATGCATAAATATGCAAAAATATTGTTGTTATTTGGTATATGATTTGCTGCTGCATAAGAATGTATTACACTGGTATCAATTTATACTTTTGTAGTTTAAAATTACGACTTAAATGACAAAAAGAATCAAATTTCATTTCTTTTCAGTTGATATTGTGCTGATTCGTGTCAAAGCGAACCATTTTCCAGTTTAAAAAAAACGATTGTACATATACAGTCGATTGTCAAAGTCAAAACAATTCCATTTGAGTTGGGTTTTAATGGTTTCGCAACGATAAAATGTCTTACACTCAAGATCTTTTTGTACAATTTTTCATTCATTCGTTCGCTTGCTTAAATTGTGTAATAATTAACGCGCGGAGACGGATATTTTACCGATTATAAAAACAAGTGGAGAATCCAAGCACATTTTGAATGATTTCAACATGCATTGTCGACGCTTTCATTCAAATGCGATTTCTTGGTGATCTCATTTGTTATTAATCTCTTTATTTTGTTTTCTCTTTGCATTTTTTTTTCTTCGTGAAATGAAAAATAGTTCTCGAAATGCATTACGTGGAATTTTAAACGATCGTTCAAACTATACATATTATACGGAAAACACACATAATTTTGTGACTGTTTCAAGTTGTTTTTACATGAAAATCAATAGTCTTGATTCGGTTTGTAGTTTTATCCAAATGAGGTCGCCAGAAATATGAATAGAATTTTCAAAGGGAAATTCTTTGAGGCGGTCATGTCGAAATTTCAACAATGAATGTAAAAAAAACTCTTCTCCGCGGCCGAATTGAAACAATAAGAATCGTCGATGTTTGCATCGATGTCGTTGAAGTTTGTTTCTTTTGCCGTTATTAGTTCGTTGCTCTTTTCGTCGTTTGCTATAAATTGTGTGGCAATGGATTTGCGTCATATTGTGTTCTGCACAGCTTATATGATTTATCAAATAATATCACAGTTTATATGTTATAACATCGGGTGAATGGATGAAAAATGCGATCATAATACTTTTATTTATGCTTTAGAAAAAAGAGTATCATGAGCGCGAGTTGGTTCATCATCGTGAAAATCGATTGTTACGTTAATCTATATGCAATTGCAAAATTGCTGAAACATTGAATCATCACGCATTCAACTATTAATAATTGATCAGACAATTCCCTTTCTTCAATCGATATCATCAGGTATAGATTTGAGTGAGAAAAAAACGCATATTATCTGGTTGGTTGCTCAACAACAAAAAAGAAAACAGAATATGATGAAGGACAAATCATCATTAACCATTCAAATGGAATATTATTATTATAATTTTTATTTTTCACTCTTAAATGTTTCAATGTTTGAGTAACAAGAGGAACATGAAAAAAGTTTTAACAATACACAGCGTGTAATTCATCAAGGCTATAGAGCCTGAATTGGCGATGCTTCGCCCAAATTGCTGTCATTTTCCACGAGTATTCAACATAATTGTAGAAAAAGGTGCTCTTTAGCACGAAAAAGAATGTGATCAAAGCATTTCCCGAAGTGATATGCTGTATGATTTTCTATTCCATTCACTTGTATGCCACCGACTTATTCGTTTTTTATTCTCTTATATGAGAAGAGCACTTTCTTCTTTTATCTTTTCATTTTCTTCATTTTTGTCTTGTCAACGTTTTTAATCCTCACCGAAAATGCAATACAACCAGATTTTCCACAATTACTGTAATGAAATTCTAGTAACAAAAAAACTCCGAAAATAAATTTGAACTAAATAGTTCTTTACTGAATGCAAACTATCTGAATGGAAGAACAACACACGAAAAAAAAACTGAATTAAATTAAAACTAACATGTTCTAGATTTTCTATTCAAGATGCGAAAACAATAACAATGTTAACATTCTCCTTCTGTATCTCACTCACTCTTTTTCTCACTCACTTAATTTATTTCTCTATCAATCGCCTGGCCGAGAAACTGGTGTGCTTCTTGCAATTTTTTTTTATCGTAGATATCGTGGTCGTCGTTACTTTTGTTGGTATTTCTTTTTGTATTCAATATTTTTCATGCACACAATTTTTGTTCGATGTTCCCATTCGACACAAACCAAAAACACAACGTACAAAAAATAATATCACTTTTTGACACTTTATTACTTTAGCTCTGGCCCACCGAATTATTTATGTCGTTGTGTTTCTCTCTCTTTTTTTATTCCGTCGTCGTCGTCGTTCTCGTGCACCCTTCAATGTTTTCCTTTCGCCATTGTCGACATAACTACCTCTTGTCGTCTGATTTTATAGTGTGCGCGCACTTTTTTTCCTTCTTCTTTTCCCTTCGCTTGAAAATTACTTGTGCTCACGCTCTCCTGCCAGTATAGAGTATGACAGAGCGATTCAATGTAAACGATGACGGTTTGTGTATCATTGACGCTAGCGAGTAAACAGTGATTCGATTTTTCATCAATGTGCATGTGTACGCGAACGTGCACGCTTCTGTATATACATATGCGTGTGTGAGTGTGTGTGTATATGTTTTTGTTAACGTCATTTCGTATCATCACCAAAAATTTCTCCTACTTACCGTTATATCATGCTCGAATCCCTTTTCGACTACACACATACGCATTTCATTTTCACCAACCTTGCCAACGCTTTTGTCCAAGTGGTTTTTTGACATTTTCTTCGGCTAAATTGCACATGCACATTTGTATCGGGAAAATCTATGTGACATATGAAAATGTGAACCGTAAAGCATGTTTCAAATTAAAATTAATTGAAGAAAAAATGCAAACGTTTAAAAACGGACTTTTTTTTGTTTTATTTTTGTAATTTGGCAGAATAAAGCTCATTTTATGAACAACAACATAATAATATTCACAAGCTAAACACATATTCAATGTATATGTAAGTTTTAAATTTTAAAATGTTTGTACGGAAAAAATGTGGACTTTCGGGGACAAAAATAAAATGTTGATTTCCGAATTTTTTTTTTTTTTTTGAAAAATATGAGACAAAACAAAAATTCTTATAGAATTTTATTATTAAAATATTTTACCGAACTTGTAGTATCTTTAAATAACTGAATTGATATCGATAAATAATTAATTAAAAAAAGAAACGATTTGATTTTTCAAATCAAAAACAAAGGATGGAAATCACAGATTTTCCAAATGAACAACAAAATTCTAATCAACACCTAAACTAAAAGTAAATCCTAATATTTATGTGCAGATTGGATGTATTTCAATGATTAAGTTAATGTGTTCACAGATTTAATTATAAAAAAATTAACCCTCATCGGCTTGCCTACTTTATTCACTGCGTAGAAATAAAAATAAAAATTTGTCTTTTATTCAATCATTCCATCTGAATAGAATTTGTACATAGTGTTTAATTTGTTCATTCGTTTTGTGATAGGAATTAGAAGTGTGTTTTTTGTTAAATCATTTCTCTCCCTGTCGTTTGCACGTTTCAAATGCAACAAACATTTCGAAAATTATATAGACATGGTATTTTTTGTGTATTTTTTGTTGTTGTTTAAATAGTTACAGTTTCATTGTTTAATTTGCATCTATTAAAAACAATAAATTAAAATTGTTTATATGTACAGAATAACAAGTTTTACATTCATTAGGCTCTCTGTTTTTTTTTCACCTAGATAATAAAAATAATCGGTGTTTTTTTTTCTCGGAGAATATGGCTTTTGTTTGCATTTTATTGCAAAAATCACTCCCTATTTAATTGTAAATACTTAAAATGTCTATTAGCGCCTCTATGGTCTTTTAGTTTATTTTTGACGTGACAAAGTCCACATGTGGTGGTGAACACACATAATTACTTACTTACACAGTTATCATTTTCTTTTCAAAGAAAATCTGACTTTACAGATAGTGCTACCGCTATGGCTGTTACATATATATATATTTTGTATTAATAAGTACTTTACATTCAATATATTATGGATTTTTTTGTCCCTTATCATGAGCATATTTTGCATTGCATTTTTTTCTATTCATTTAATTTTGAGTCGTTCATATCTAGAGATAGAGTTAGAGTCGTTACTTCCATCTAATTTCCTAAATGTCCGTTAGAAAAACGCTCTGAATTTTTGATAAAAACACATGTTTCTTCAGTTCAACTCTACCGGTAGATATTTAAACGTTTCTGTCCAAATTAGAAAGTAAAGTGGTTCATGCATGCGAATTTTCAAGCAAAGTACATACAACAAAAGTATGAAATACACTTTATCTTACTTAGACCTATGCCATATGAACAAAATACCGTATTTTTTTGTTTGTTTCTTTCTCTTTTTTTGGTATGTGTGATGATTTTTATGGACCCGCGTTCCAGATAATATCTATAAAATTCATTCTGAACATATTATGAATATTAGTGATAGTTGCCGCTAGTCAGCAGTGTTATTTGTTAATAATATCATTCAGTGTTGTTAGTTGTTGACGGAAACAATTAATTGGAAGAAGCGTGATAATCGACTTAAATATTCCAAACACTACTACATTAGACTCATTTGCTTTCCGTTTTTTTTGTTGTCGTCTTTAAGATTGTGGTGATGTTTCATCATCTTCAGTTATGACACTTCGATTCGTTTCCAAAATAGCTTTCTTTTGCAGCAATTGCTGTAGATGGTCTTCGTTTTGCAATTGGATGATTCGATGATGTGTAGCGGGCGCTAGTTGGCAACTTTCTTGCTCCAAATCTTCCAATGATGCACGGCGACCAAACTAAATATCAAAATTGACATGTCAACCATTGTTCAACAAAATGTCATGTATAAAGGTAGAAAAATCACTTACATTGGCTCGTCTCACCGATGCGTCCATCGATCTCGTTGATTGATGCTGTTGCAAATGATGTAGATAGTGATTCGTTGATGGATTTGCAGGTGCGTTGCTCAATGAGATGCGTCGCATTGGTGTTGGTCCATCTAGTTCAAGGTTTTCCAACATTTGAACCATACTATGACGACGCGACAGTGTCACCAACGATTGTCGATGCTTTGAATGTTTTGATTTTCCCATTCGAACATCAATGGCACGGAAATGATTTTGTAAGGTTAAACCTAATTCAGGACATTCGTCCTCACCTGGGGATGAATCAGAAATGAACAAAAAAATTATATGGAAATTTAATCAACATGGAATGGAACATAATGGAAAAATTATCGAAAAAACGGATAGCAATTGTCGATCCTCACCCATCTGAAAAGTTTGAAGAAAAAAAAGTTATTATGTGAAAAGTTGATGAAAAAAAAATACGCAAATAACTCACAATAATTTTAGCATTCTTAAACATGGTAAAACCATCACAACCGCTGTGCATATAGCTCTTAATGCATAGAGAATAGGTTTGCTTTAAATCCAGCCATTCGTCGGCGATTTGTACCAATTCGGCAATTACTCTAGAATATGGTGGTCTTTGTGGATCGAATACAAAACAAATGCCTGACACTTGCGGAAAACGTCCTTCTAACTTTGGATATGCAGAAACAGCATTTTCTAGTGCATCGACAATCGCTCGACCGGTTACTTCAAGTACAACTGTATTCCATAAAAATATCAACAATTTAATAAATGAATTTGGTAATAAGAAAAACAACCGTACCCAATGGATCATGCATCGGAACAATGTTAACCAAATCTCGCATTGTAAACGGACCAGCCGGATGCACTTGATCGGATCGGAAGGTTCCTATAAAAAAAAATGTAAATTAAATTTTTGATTTGACAAAAGCCATTGCATATCAAAAAAGTACCTGAATTTAAAATAACAACATCAGCACCCGTTGCAGAAAGTACAACATCACAAACCCAATCGCCCAAATTCGTTTCCGATTTTCGAATTGATGAAAAACGACAATCTAATTCAACACTAAATGTACCAAGCACTTCTTTCATATGCTCTTCAATTGACTCAGTGTACTTAACCAGATCGGCTTTTAGTTCCTGATCTTCAGCATATTCGGACGTTACATCGATTGCTTTGAATGTTGTATTCCATTGTTTGTTATCATTTTTAGTCATTGTTATCAAACCGAATTGTCGAAAATCGGTGCCCGATTTGATGACATGAATGCCATTTACCACATCATCTTCGCATACATGATCATGACCACCGAGTATGATATCGATGCCATTGGCATTGTTCGCTAATTTAAAATCATTTGGTGTCCGCATATGTGTTAAAGCTATTATCAAATCACAGCCCTGTGTGAAAATACAGAAGATAAAAGAAAGGAAACCACATGTTTATTATTTGTTCTTATTTCAATTGTATTCAGAAGGATAAAAGCGTGTCAAAGTTGTCAACAACAACAACGACAACAATCCTCTATACCTCATTCCGTAGTTGAGTCGCCAATTTGTTGCCGGTCTTGATAAAATCAGTGTATGTCACTTCTTTTGGATCAATTGTTGGTAATGTGTCTAACCATTCTTTTTCAACCAAACCCATTATACCAACTTTGATGCCATTGTGTTTGATGACATATGTAGTTTTACCGCTACCTAACGATCGGCCAGTTTCATTGTCCACCACATTCGACATCAGCCATGGAAATTTCGTTTTTGCTATGTGTTCTGTTATCACCTCAAGGCCATGATCTAAATGTGGTTAAGAGACACAATTCATTGTGATTATGTTATTGTGCCACAGTTCAATTCTTTGAATATGGCAAACAGTGCAATACAAAGATAACAAGTTTAAGCCAAAAAATAAATAAATAAACGAAGTCAGCTCACCAAAATCATGATTTCCCAGCACAGCACAATGAGTTCCGACTTTATTTAGCACCGGAATCATTTGTTCCCCTTTTGTAAACGTACTTACTAAAAACAGCAAAGACACAAGCAGATCAAGGAATGTAATTGTTTTAATAAAAAAAATTACAAGTTTTATGTTGTTTTAACTTACGAATGCTAGGCGAGAATGCATCACCGCTAAACAATATCAAAGGATTTAAATGGCCAAATGATTTGATTGCTGTTAAAAAACGAGCAGCACCTCCAACAGGTTCACGTGCCGAATTTGCTTCAACATTATAAATATCATTAAAGTGTATTATATTTAAATGTGCCATCGTTAATTATTCCTGTGGAGTGAAGAGAGAATTAAATACGGTTAATAATAAACAACTTAATAAACCGAAAGACTTTGTCAAAGAAGCCATAGACATATGCTTATGACAAAAGAGTGTCTTTAGATCTGTGTTAATGATAAAACTACAAAAAAAAATTATTATTTCAATTTATTGGTATAAAATATTGGTTAACACAATATCACAAATGCCAATTCCTCACAATCGAATTTATGGAAAATAGATTTATCTATTTATGCGATGACTCAGACTTCTTGAAAGGTATTTATTTTATACAATACATAAACTCAAATTGCCGAAGCATACTTCATATTGGCCAATCTCTCTAAAGTGGTTTATTTAATTGCAACAATAAATAACATAAAATAGATTTTTTTCAATTTCTATAATGGAATTGACCTGCACACACACACAAACACTTCTGTCGTGAGAAAAGAAGGGCAATGAATTTGAGAGTGTTAATAGAAAAAGCAAAACTGGTGGGACACTTGATATTTGCATGAATTGACACTTTTTGAGCACTTTGCACACGATGCGACTAGTATTCACACGATGTGGTGGTTTTTTTAGTACATATCTAGACAACGCAGCGGATCGGTCTCTACCGTTGGCATGAAATCGGCACAATAATAAAAAAACAGTTGTAATGGTACCAATACCACTGTTTGTTCCTTATTATTGTGTGATAAAATTGAAATTTGAAATTGTTTGCATCCAACTAATAAAAAATGGAGTGCATGTGATCGGCTTGATAGCCACATTCGATATGAATTATGATAACAATAGTAATAATAAACATTTTCTACAATTCTGTGTGGCTTTCTCACCAATATTTCAAACCAGCCAACACAACCAATTCAAGTGGGTTTCATGTCGCTTCGCTTTACCATCATGACACGTTACAAATGCTGTGCACATGCAATTCATTTAGATTCATATTCCGTCGCATTGACAAATGGTAGCTGAGAAAATGTGAATAGCCCGCGCGAGGAAGAAAGAGACAGCAAAAACACGGTACACGGTGTAAAATACCGTTGAATGTTTCTAAATTTGCATGCGAATCGAATGGTTGAAGTCAATTCCCTTCTGGTGGATGAATTACGAATTCAATTTGATAAAATGCTGTACTGTTTCGTTACAACCAGATATTATTTTGAGATATTTTCAGCCAGCTGAATCAGCTCAAGCAGCTAACGACCAGGCATTGATATGGAAGCGACAAAAAATAGATGTGATTGTTATAGTTAGAAAAACTCCATTTCAGCGCCTGACATTCGGCCTGAGCTGATTCAGCTGATATGTTGATATAATGTCTGGCCACAACGGCGGTATCTTCATCCACAAAATTGTGGAAGGGATAGCATAAGAATTAGCAACTTTGCTCAAACAGTATTATAATGCTGACTTTTAAATACCGAACCATTTAAATTGAGAGAATGCACGTCATTTATAGACATAAAATCGCATGTGTGACCTTCAATTTGAATGTATCCATGAAAATTGAAAACAAACCTAACGAAACCCATTTCAAAGCAATGGCCAATCATGTTGATCCATGCCAAACAACTAATATCCGCCTATGAAAATGACTTGTAATAATTTTTTTTTTTTTCATATTTTTATACACAAGCAATTACTTAAAAGCTTGTTCATTTGCTCGGGTCAAGCACGTTTAACAAATGTATATGTGTATAGCATTTGAACAACACAGGAACAAAAAAAAATGTTCGCCTTTATTTGATTCGTGTTGTTCTCTTTTTATCCTATCGACCGTACTATTTCTATCCAAAAATAAAAAATTCCACCTTTCGACTTGTACCTTTCTTCTTCGATCCAACTCACAAGAATTTTTCAAATAAAACAACATTGATTTCCCCTTTGTTGCTTTTGTTCGAGCTGAACAAAAGACTAGAAAACGAACACAAAAAATTTATAACTAAACATAGTTTTGAAGGTAAGAGATATCACTTGAAAACTGAAAAGGCAACTATGCTCAGTATGCATTTCAACACAAATAATGATAAGAAAAATCACTTCAATTTGACCAGATTTGTTGAATGGCATTCAGCTTGGCACTCTTTTCTCTCGCTCGCTTTTTATTTTGCTCAATTTCGTTTTTTACGTTTATGCAAATGCTCGTGTAACAATTCCTCATTGTGATTAGCTACATGTGCTTGACATTATGTGTGTGTGTGCACGAATGTTTTCAAGAGCAAATCAAAGTACTCAATTATATGGTGCACAATGCGAGAAATGCTAAAATTGTACAACACTTTTCGAATTGTTTATATGTCGGTGCATACATGCATTTGCGAAACACCGACTAATCCTTGAAGTTTCACAAATAGTGTATAGTCTATAATTTGTTTATATTGACGTGCATCGCATAAAAATCGATTCGATGATGTTATAACTTTTCGACACTTGCTGCGTTGTTTATTTTGACATGTAGTCATAGACCTGAATGGTGAACAAAAAATACGCCGTATTCAATTGTTTCACCTTTTTTTGGAAACGATTTTGTACGTAATCAAAACGATTTTGTGATAAAATTCAATTTTTTTTTTGCATGACATTTACTATGAAAAGTATGTTATACGATACGTGAACATCTTAATATGCTCAAATTCGTAATCGTTTTCGATTTTGCCATTTTTGTCCTTCTTTTTTTACGGTAAGTGAACATTTTCAAAAATCAAATTTATACGGATTTGAATGGAAAAAGAGTGGCCATTATGGTGACTGAACGGAGAGATTTTACTGGAAGGTAGAATGGAAGAACTTAAAGCCACTTATTGATATTGATTACAGTCTTATAATACATGAACCGTTCTCTTTTTTTGCTCTTTCAAAGAAACATTTTACGATGCTCGAAGACGACACACTTACACTCTCAATCGCTTACATGCACACAAGTACAAATTAAATTAATTTATGACATAGAAACACACTGTATGCCAATTTATTCGCTTTAATCTTACTTTAGAATTGAAAATTGGATTCTTGATATCAATTATTATTATTTTTTTTTTTAAACGAAAGACGAAGTGGTTAGCGAAGCCTTCTAAAAAGCTTTCTTCACATTGCTACCACTGAAACACCGGGTAAGGTTTATTGTATGTTGATTTGTTTATGTGAAAAAGTTTATTTTCCACTTGTTAAATCATTATTGTATGCAACGTACCTTGCTGCTGCTCACCTCTCGTTCTCTTTCCTTTTCACAAAATCTATCTCTCTCTCTCTCTCTCTCTCTCTCTCTCTCTCGTTGTGCCTATGTATATATGTGGAATGGTAATGAAATTTTCCGTTTTTTTTTGTAAATAACACAAGCACACACTCACTTTATTTTTTCCAATAAATTCGATTCTTATTTCTGTTCACTTTATCACGATTTTTTGTTTGATTGCACTTAAATCTCTGTTTTAATTCCCTTCAATTTCGGTTACTCAAACGAAAACGTCGAGAAAAATTAAGAATCAATATCAAATTGTCCTTTTCGTCTTTTGTCCGCTTTAATGAAAAAAATTTAAAAATTGGCTTTATTAATCATATAAATTATTCACATTTCTCGCACCGTGCGATATCAATTAGTCGAAAAATGATTTTAATTTAAGCGGGAGATTTTAAAATGGCACACGACTATTATTCCGATGTGCTATTTTACACTGTTTCAAAAATATTTTCGCTCTCGAAATGTTCGGCAGCGTGTGACGAATCGAAACGCACTAAAAAAAGAGAAGAGAAAATATATATATAATATATGTATTCGGAAGCTCCCGAAGCGAATGAGATATTTTGAGTGAGCATCAAATTTATGATGATTCGATTTTTTTCCCTCTTGTCTTTTACGAATATTTCGATTGTATGCGTGTGCAAAGGATTGAAATGTTCTTGATATTTTCGTTTTCTTTTCACTTGTTTTCAACTCACTTTACATTGTTGATTAGAACACCGTTCTTTCACTTGTACTTCACACCAAAAAAATGTTTTTTTTTTGTAGAGATGTAATGTGCGCGCCGTGACAAAACGATGGAGAGATATATTTAAGAAGTAATTCTACCGAAAGTTTAAAAGGCGCGAAGGAGGTAGATATACATGTTAACAGCGAATGTTCAGTGTTCAGAGTTTTTTTTTGTTGAGAGACAGTGTCTCTAATATATATCGAATGTGACACAATGTCTGTGGTGCGTTTTATATGTGCGAATGTACTGGTGTGTGAATGAATGTATTTTCATAAAACATAATGGGAAAATGTTGGGCTGTCGCACGCAGATGAATGAAACGAAAGGCAGTAAAGGCACAAACAAACAAACTGAATGTGCGGACGAGAACAAAAATTTAATCAAATCCCAAGGTTGCGAGAACCAGAGTCTTTTGGTTGCCTAAAGTCATTTCCCCGACTTTGAATCGATGTATATAAAACATTGACGCGTGAATGTGTGCTTGTGTGTGTGTGGTTAACATATACACACTTGAATAATTTGGCAAACAGTATCAAAAACATATGATTTTATCCACCATCGATTTCTGAAGGAGTCAAAGAAATACACAACATTATGAAAACGTCGTAGCTCATTCGATGAAATCTCATTTGCTTTGCAACCGTTGTATTCGTGCTCTCAAATGAGATTTGGTGTAGGTGTGCGTGTTTATTCGCAAAACTCAATTTTGCCGACCGTGCATGTGTGTTGCATGCGTTAAAACAAGTGTTTTTATGTTCGTGCAACATTGACCGTTTTCTTTTAATTCGCACATGATCGAGGGTCAAATGAATTCGGACCTCATATAACTAACACTTGATGAGAAAATTTTCATTTTTATATAAAGAACAAAACATTCAAACAATCATGTCAATGTGAATAAAAATACGAAATTAAATTACAAACATAGAAAACAATTTCGAATAAATGAATGGTCACGAAAATGGTTGACATACAAAAGCATCAACAATTTACACTGTAAACCGTCCTTTATGTACACAGCACTTTGACAGATCAAACCGTCTTTGGTTGTAATTTTTGACAGTGGTTTTCGTTGCGACGAACAAATAAATGCACAGTCAAGCGATAGCCTGAGTTTTTATTACAATAACAATCTTAAAGCCGACTCATCCACGATTTCTTAACATTCTCTGAATCATCTGTAAATTACGTTTTAGTCAAATCAAAGTCAATAAAAAAAATTTTGTTTCTAATTTGTGAATAACACCAAATCAAATAGATCGAGACGTAAATTGTGTTTGTTAAAAATATGCCAGTAACAGCAACAAATGAAAATATGGATGTCGACACTGACAATAATATTGGCGAAGCTTCAACCAGTAATTCAGCCACAAACACAACGCCGTCCACGTCGAATCCAGCGCCGGCGACTGCATCCGCAGCATCAGCGGCCAGTACCAGCAAACAATGCACAGACTCATCCTTAAACAGTGTTATGGCCAGTCCGGCTACCATTCCATCAGTCACAGTTTCCCTACATCCGTTGGTTATTATGAATATATCAGAGCATTGGACACGGATTCGAGCTCAAAATGGTAGCCCTCAATCTCAATTTAAAGCAATTGCTGGACATTAATGTTGTTGTGGCTATTGCTTTGCAATTTTTTCATTAGATGTTTCCGATTATTTTCGATTATTTTCCGATTACTTATCGATTATTTTAAATTTCATTCTTTTCTTTTGTGATTCTCCCCTTAGGTAGCCCTCAACAAGGTAAATTTTAAAAACAACATTTCTTTGTCGGAACGCCGACAGAAAAAAAAAGAGCATCGATTTTTGACGGACATCAAATCTTTAAATTCGCACAAAAATATTGAAGATTGTTTAATTTGAATATTATTTTTGTTACAGTGATTGGTGCATTAATCGGTAAACAAAGCGGTCGTAATGTTGAGGTTATGAACTCATTTGAATTGAAATTCAAGTTTGTTAACCAAGATATCATCATCTGCCAGGATTATTATCGCACAAAAGAAGAACAATGTAAGTTATGTTCAATTTGATTGAAATTATTTTTGCTTTCGTTTTGTAAACAGTTCGGAATTTTTGGATTTTCTTACACATAGACAAACAAGTGTTCAAAGATTTGGATTTTCTTGGCTGGTACACCACTGGCGGTCGACCAAGCGAACAAGACATCAAAGTGCATAAGCAAATATGTGAAATCAATGAGTGTCCAATCATGTTACAACTCAGTCCACAATCACGAAACTTTGATGTAAGTTCATCATTGCAAACAATTTCAAACTAAAATGTGTTTGCAATCAATAAGTTCGACATTTTGACGTTGTCATTTTTTTTTGTTTTTTTCTTGAAATAGCAATTGCCGGTGAAGATTTATGAATCGGTGATTGATATTGTACAAGGTGAAGCGACCATGTTGTTTGTCAATTTATCGTATACATTGGCCACAGAAGAAGCTGAACGAATTGGTGTCGATCATGTTGTTCGCACATCAACACATGAAAATGGCGGAAAGTCAACTGGTAAGATAAATCATTTTTCGCATATAATTTAATCGAAATGTGTGCGTGTGTGTCTAATTGAAATTGAATATTTTAGTTGCTGAACATTTAATCGCACAGCATAGTGCAATTAAAATGTTGCATTCGCGCGTCAAATTGATTTTGGCATACATCAAAGCCATTGAAAGTGGTTCGTTACCAGCCAATAGTGAAATTTTGCGTGAAGCATATGCCTTAAGTCAACGCCTGCCGGTTATTCAAAGTTCGACATTTAAAGAGGAATACTATACGGTACGTTTTTTCCTCATCTTTTTTTATTTACTTCATTTGCGATTTGTTTTGTCGAATTTCCATGCATATTATTTGAAATCATTTGTAATTTTGTCGTTTCACTTTCATTTTATAGCAATCAAACGATGTTGGTTTGATCACATTTTTGGGAACGTTAACAAAAGGCTGTAACGATATCAATCACTTTGTGAACAAGTTCAATGTGTTGTATGATCGTCAAGGACGTGGTCGTATGCGAGGCTTATTCTTCTAAAACCATTCTAAAAGCGATGCAATGGAAGCAGATGCTACTGCAAAATACCACGCTCACAAAAACACTCAAGCTTTGATTTATTAAGCATATTATTTAAAAAAAAGTAAAACAAAAAATAAACAAACAACAAAACAAAAATTTACAATGGAATAATTTCCTAATAAAAAAAATATTGTTTCAAAGAATTGACTTTATTTAAATAGAAGTTGATATTTAAGTTAACAGCAATTTACATAAATCTTTGGAAATCTCTATTCTATTTTAACAGTATCGGCGCTTAGGTCGCGTGTTTTTCCACAGCCAAATAGCGATTGCAATTGATAAGTGGTTAGGAATTTCGCGAAAACTTGTACTAAGCATAATACAACAACTGTCGTTTCCATAATCACAAAATGCGAAATGGACGTGCCAATCTCAAGCCATGAACCCGTATTTTTCACTAAGAACAAAAAATTCAGGCACATTATGTCACAACATAGCAATATTAATATGAAAAATTTGTCCAAAGGAATCTGAAAAGAGAAACAACGCTATTATGACATCCGTTACATTTGAAAAATGGTTCCTTGCCTTTGTAATTGAATGAATTTGTCGTATGGCACACATAACAATTAGTACTGGAATCAAGAGCTTCAAAATGATTAATGATGCCATTAAAAATGGTGAAAATGTTGAGACAAAGCATCGAACCCAATTTGGATCAAATGAGCTCACCGATGCAATATTTCCGGTTCCGAAAAATGAGACAAGCACATAAATGATCTATTTAAAACAAAAAGGTCAAGGAAAATAATATAAAAAAAGAAAATGTCATGAAATGGGATAAAATTGAATGAAAGGTTCGGTTATTGAAAAAGTTACACAAATGAAGGCTCGTTTAAAATCAACCGGTTCAATGGAACGTTCGCAGTCCGTTTGTTCAATTTGTTGCTGAAATTCGAAAAGAATATTAAATGAAAAATTTCGTCGGTATGAGATTATTGTGAATAAGGAGATTGTGTGCCAACAAATGATCCCTTTCGGTACTCACCGTATACATTTGTTTGCGATCGGTGTAAATCATCGATACCCAATAGTAAATGTTTGATGTGAATGTCATATAAAATAATGGTTCATAAGAAAGGGACATCATACAAAATGGTAGCGCCAAACTTGAAATAATGGCCATTAGACGATCACGGAATGAATTCGGAGCAATAGTTGGCAATATGAATGACGCAACTGTAAATTTTAAAAAACACACACACATTTTCATTTTTCCTCTTCGAAGTGGATTATTTTTTCTCATAACATACCCGATAGAATCCAAGCGAAGAATTGATTGAAGTCGTTTAGACCTTTTCGTTCATTCAAATCATATACAATTAATAAGCAATCCATCGCTCCAATTGCAAAGATCACAAGATTTGCAATTTTAAATGGATTTCGATCAGATGTCGCAGCATAGAATATTTTCAATCCCCATGCACCCAATCCGATTGTTCTAAAGAACAGTCAACATTTCAATATTGAAAAAGAAACAATGACAAACGAAATTTACTTACAGTAGGAATACATTATTCGAATCCTTGTCAACCAGCGGCAAAATTGGATAAATTGCTAAAATCGCACAATTTAAAGCCCATCTAAAGAATGCCTCCAGTTTTTCCTTCTTATCTATTTGAAAAGTTTTTTTTTTTTAAATATTTGTTAAAATGCCGAAAAAGCGTTGAGCAAATGTAAAAAACAAACCTTTTAAAACATAGTACTCGTATGCTAACAATGCCAATAGTAATCCACTTAAAAAAATCCGATTAAAGAAGGACAACACCTAAAATATTTAAATTCTTTTAGAAATTCAATACTTCAAATCAATTTACTTGTATTTTACCAAAAATTCAATGCCACCTATCCAGAACCATGTCTCGAATTTAGTCAATTGTCGCAACATGTTGAATGTTTTCACCGGATACCAACAGAAAACGGGCAAAATTAAAAATATTCCATTTGCAATTGACATATTTTGAACTGAGAAAATAAAAAAAAATTAACACATTTCATATGAGATTAATGAATGTTTGTAACGCTCACGGTAAGCAAAAAGGCCAATCAAAGCAATCAATCCAATTATGTTTAAATGAGATTTGACGGAGTTTTTTCGGTTTTGGTCGTCAGAAGAGTCCATGTCCAACTGTTGATATAATGAAAACATCCATCCAATCATTGCTATACTAACTGTTAGCAACAACAGATTTTGATAGTAAGTTTGGAAATAGTGAATTCCATCCAATGCCAAATCAATGTAATGATATGAAAGTTTGATCTGAAAATGTGATGAGAAAACAATTCGTTTAAAAAAGTGCAAACAAAAACAACATACAAAAAAACGATTACCGCTTTGCTATAAGTTTTCTCCTTAATGGCACTTTGAATTTCGTATTCTATTGAGAGAAGATCAACTTCGTTCAGCTGATGAAAATCTTTGAACAAGAATGCTTTTTTGTATTCCTTTTGCAGATGCTTGAATTGGTTTGCAATTTGAATCGTATTTTGGTGTACACTTCGAAAGATATATTCCTGAAATAGAAATTAATATGAGTTTTAGTGTTAATCCTTAAAAAAAAGAAGATAAGTAAGCAATACCTCTGACACATTTAAATACTGTGCTGGAAGTTTGCCCAAATTATTTGTTGGTACAGCGGTTCCGATTAGAGATGACATCAGCGGTGTTAAATCAGCTTGTTTTATATCAAATCGTGGGACATTCACATCATTGATAAGCGTTTCGGCTCTGTAATTTGAATGAATATTTCATTTAAATGTGAAGTGTTCAAATCTCAAATGATTTAATTAAAAAAAAGTGATATACTTATTATCAGGATGGGTCAGCTTCTTCCAACAATTAACACCGGCACCCCATGCAACAATTGGCGTTTCGGTTTCATGATTAGTGCCGGCACCATGAGAGCCTATATAATAAGAATTTTTTTTTTTATTTAGGCAGCGTTTGCATCAAAATGTTTAAATACTTTGCATCACCTTTGTTCGTCATTCCATGATCCGATGTAAAAATGAATGCAGTTTTTCCATCCGAGAAAAGTCCGTTGAATAGTGAAACAATTTTTGAAATACCTTTGTCCACTTCTTTCAAATTCTCATCGAATAGTCTGCAACGAATAATCAATGTCTTCAATGTTGAAAATCAATATTTTCAATATTTACTATTTTGCACTTACTCTGTATTTGGTTTGTGAACATGACCAGCTGTGACCACATTCAGTTGAAAATCATAAATAAATAAATAGCACCGTTAAAATAAACGATGAGAAATGTAAATTCATATACACAAATACCTGTATCCAAGCCCAGCAGATGTAAAAAGAAGACGGTATGTTTTTTGTCCACAATTTGTTGACTACTTCGACGTAAAAATTCAATAACTTTATCGAAGACCCATGTATCCAGTTTTGTTGTACTCGTTTTACCCGAAAAATCTTCAATTTCCGATGTGTAGGCACTTGCAACAATATTATTTGACGATCGTTTTGTAAAAATGGAAAGAATGTCGGGACTTCCCCAAGCATACGTTGTCTAAAATTACATAATTGGATTGTTTAGGTGGTGTACACATTTGCAGCAAGTGAATCTCATCACATTTAAACAAAAAAAGAAGAAAGAAATGGACTTACATCGCTTCGATTAAAAACCGAATCAAAATCGATTGGATTGTGTTGCCATCCTTTAAGTACAGCGCTTGGATCTTCATAAAAGCCAGCAATAAGAGCTACATGACCGGGACGTGATTCAGTCGGTACACGTGTATGAGATATTCCATGAATGCCTTCGTTTAAAATGATATTTCGTAAAAATGGTGTACGATCTAAATTATCGCGGAAAAAGGATTCAGCTCTCAAGCCATCGGCCACAAAGAGTACCAATCTATTTAATTTAGAATTGATTTTTGTTCCAGGAATTTCATCATTATCTTATTGTTTTGAGTCATGTTTGATAGTTAGATGAGGAAAAGAGTTACCTTTTTGCCGGTGAATCATTCAAATTAGATTGTGCATGTAGTCCAGTGATGACCGGTGATTGAAAGTAAATTTGAAATATTGATGCTAAAAATAGAGCGTGCGCAATTAAACCAAACACAATAATTTTTATCATATTTATTTCTATTAAATCACTGTTTGGAATGAATTACATGTAAAAAAAAAATTATTCGAAAAAAAGTACGAATACATTTATCGATTATGTTTTGTTTATACTTGACGGTATTTTGACGTTTCAAACTGTCAAACGAACAATGAACAAATGGAGAACGGTTTAGTACTATATAGTAGTCGCTGTTGTTGTTTTTTTTTGTGTAGAACATGACATGAATCAGCTGTAAATGAATTTGAATCACATATGAGATGCAACGTTTAATCAGTTAAACTTAATAAAAATAAGTATAAATTGCATCAATCAATCTGAAAAACGATTTTAATTTTGAAATTGAATTTCAATTCCATTCACTTCATGGCACCGTATAGACTGTAAACACAAATGTATGTTGTATCAGTGTTGGCGATATAAACGTCATAAGTATAGTTTCTTCCATGACATTTTCACATGAATATAGCGTTTAGTGTTGTAACTACATCGCACCAATATAATACTCTAATAAAAATCTATCTCTGTCTGAGTCATTGTTTTATTTTTCTTCTATTATTTATGAAGTAGCCAAATCTATAGAGTATTATTATTGTTTGTTGAACAATTGTAGTTCAACATTATCGAAATTACACTCACTCACTCACTCAATTCGATCGTTTGCAATTTATATAGTGATTATTTGTGTGAGATATACGTGAATTTAAATCGGTTTGTTGAATATAAACCATTTTTGATATACAGTGAGCATTTATGAAAAAAAAAAAACAATAAGACTGTAGACAGAGAAAGAAATCAACCAAAGTCATTTTAACTGTATACACCTTTAAAAAAACGTAAAATAGAAGAATAACAGGGAGAAAAAGAGAAAAAGAAGAAAACACTAATTTCTCTACATATTAGATCCATGACGTCGACACACCAAATCGCATTATTACACAGTTCATTCTATTCGATTGCTACGAATGCATGGTGAGTGAAGGCGTTTGTTTGTGCAAAACAATTTTTTTTCTTTCGTTTTTCGTTTTTTGACAACATTCTACATGAAAACAATGAAATGAATGAAATTTCATGTTTGAAATTTTATGTGTGATTCGATTTGTTTTGATCGTTTTAAGTTTGACATTTTCATTCTGTATTGTATCATATGTAAGTAATATTTTATGTGATAAATCAAACTATGCGACATCAATATCACCAACAACAACAATCGTATTAACAAGTTGGAAACAAAAACAGTCCAAATAGACAAAGTATTTTATAAAGTTTTTATCGTCGTGTCTCGGTCGCAAGTGATAATTATATTTTTATCTTAAATCGAAAAAATGTGTATTATGTGAATATATTCGTGTGAAATATTCGTTTGACAATCATTTTTAACGATAATTGATTTATGGGGTGGCCATAAATAAAACAAACCAAAACAAAAACGAGAAAGAGCGGGATAGAGAGAAAGAGCATGCAATTGAAAAAATCATTACCGTGCTGCTTCGAATGAATTTTTCACCGCTGTGCATGCAGATGAATTTCCATTTAAACGGAAAAATAAATTACACAAACATTAAGGAGTCGTGCATTTCATGGGCAATTTTAATTGCAACAGAAAGAAAAACACACATATTCACATGCACACATAAATATAGAGGGAAAACGATACAGACCAGTCAAACTAAATAAACATCGAACTAATTTTGATATTTAAAAAAAAATTCACCCAAACAAGCATATAGTTTCGGCGGATGAAAAAAGTTTTTTTTCCATTATTATGAGTTCAGAGGGCAAATGTCGGAGATTTGTTTTTTTATTCTTTCTGCTGATGTATATTTTAAACTGTGTCAAGTGCGTGGCATAGATTTTCCAGACGGTGATTTATTTAAATAATGAGGAAATACACTTGGTGCATGATTCGAATTTACATGAAAAATTCACATATATTGCAATAAATAAATCAGAAAATAGAGAAAAACAAAAGAACTAAGCCAAAAGAACGAACAACAGATTTTTAAATCGAATTTTCCTTGAATTCAAATTATATAGTGTGCGCTCGACAACAAACCGTTTTAAAGTTTTTTTTTTATAAATATATTTTGAGTGTGTGCATGACTGACGGTTGTCGTCGCCATTTACGGCACATACCGCCATCGTCATCACAATTCAACAAGGTAAAGAAAAAGAAAAGCAAATATCGGTACGACACAAGACAAACATATTTTCTCTTATTCAATATTTTTTGTTTTTTTTGGAACACACAATATGCAAATGTATATTCACGAAAAAAAATAACACAAGTTCGCAAAAAAAAAACCGATCGCTTGTAAAACAGTGTTTTTTCTGCTTCTTCTTCGTTCATTTCTTTGCAAATCGAACAGAAAACGGTTTCGCATACACTCACTCACGCATCGACTTTTACAATACGGTGGAATATGAAAACAAATTAATAATTTATAATTATGAGATAAATTGAGTACACAGTACTTTATCACGGTAGCAAAAGTAATAAAAAATACGAATTATAGCTTTGATGTTTGTTTGTGATAACTGTTTTTTATTTATGATGGGTCGAAAATCTATATTGGCTTGATTTTTTTTTTATCGAATATCAATGAAAAAAGATTAACTCTTCAAATCGCATTCTGTCGTTTTTGTAATTGAATTAAAAGTGTTTAGTGTGCGTTTGAAATAATGACGCGTTTGAGTCAACAATATTTTTATTTTCAATTGTCGTTGTTGTTGTCGTCTGTTTGAATGCATCCCGTAACAATTGTATCCGTTGAGTCATTGCATGTGCTTGAATTAAAACCAGCAGATTGTCGTAACTCATTATTTTGTTTAGTGCAGTAGTAAATTAATCAAATCCAATCATTTTGTTTCACTCTGTTTTCTTCATCTTGCATCTTGCTTCCTCTACAATGAAAATGTTTCGTGCGATGCGTGTGCGGCTTGTTAATGGTGTTGCAGATGCAAGTCATCGATATACACATATAATGCAAACAACAAATCAAAACCGATTATCTCACTTTTTTCACGCTTTCAATGTATTCAATTTTCATTCCAAATACGAGAAAGAATTATAGCTACAATGTTCAGTGAAATGCCAGTAATTTTTCGTCGTGATTGGTGTAGCTTAATTTAAATTGCAATCAAACCCAAAGAGTATCGATTTCACGACATTGTATATTCAAGCAAAAAATAAAAGTAATAATAAGTACCGTCGTCGTCTGTTCTCTTCTAAAGGGAGAAAACATTTTATTAAAATAGACAGAATGAAAGGGATAGAGAGCAATCAAAAGAGATAGAGAGAGCGTGAGTAAGTTATTTGAATCGAGTCTCAAATCGGATTTTAAATGAATCGATGATTTCACGAAAAAAAAGAAATGACTTCAAGTTATATTCATATACATCTTAATATGTCAAGTGATTTATTGGCTTTTTTTAACTAATCTACGTGCTATTAAGTTTTATTTTATTTTCTACATGCATTCAGGCGATTCAAAATACGCTATTTACACTCAAAGTGAACGTTCAAAATTCCATGAAGCACATGTCACTTCCACGACATATTTTTATTTTTTAAATTTGTTATTACCACACAACTGCAGAATTTCAAATTAGCAAGAGGCGTATGTATTCATACGTATTCGTTTCCATGTGGAAGTTCAGTGAGATATCACATTTTTTTGTGCATTTATATGTGTAAATTTTTTCACTAACGATCAAAACAATAACAACCAGAACACAGTCTATTATCTCGCGTTCGTTCCAATTCCTGATACCGTTACATTCTTTTCGTTGGCAAAACATTTTTTTGACTGTAACCGATAAAAAAAACGAATTTTTCCATAATTATTGTACTGACTGAATTTAATATTTTATCTCTATTTTCAGATATTAGTTTATATTTTTCACCATCACGGAGATTGATCGATCAGCGAATGCCGGAATTTGTTTGCAAAAGTATTTAAAGAAAAAGTATTTAATTAATTGTGTGAATCTACGTTAAGTATCGTTCGACCGATCTTGTAGTGTGATAAATAGTTCAGCTTTAGCAACTAAGACTGCAGAAGATCAAAAATCAAATAAAATGAGTGGTATACGTTTTGATAATGGAAGCATCTCGGAAGCATGCATGATTCGCACAAATACACGCATCATCACCAATTTATATGAGGGAATTCCAGAAACATTATTGCTTAACGTAATCGGTTGGTTGATTTTGATATTGTTGTTTTCGGTGTTGCGACAACAAGCATGGGACTATGGCCGATTGGCATTGGTCAGCACGAATGGTGACAATAAACGATGGACGCAAATATTTTATGCACCAACGAGTGATGAAGGTGGCGGCGGATCAAATAAAAGGAACGGCAGTGTAAATCACAATGCGACAAACGGTAGCACAGCAACGATAAATAGCACAGCCAGCAATGGCACATCATCGGCCGGACCGAGCGGCATGGATATGACGAGCGGTAGCAGTAGTACGTCAATTCATGAAACAATTCAACGTAGTTCCAGCCAAAATACACACATTCACAAACAACAATCAATCGATCGGGCATTTCTATCGTGGCTTCCGGCCACAATACGATTGACTCGAGATCAAATTCTTGATCACAGCGGACCGGATGCGGTTCATTATTTAAGTTTTCAACAGCATTTAATGTGTCTTATGGTAAGTTTGATCCAACCAAAAAAAAAATGACACTCTTAAAAACAAACAAACAAAAATGTGTTGCATTTATTCTTTTCTTTGTTTAGGGAATCATCACGTTGGTGTCTTTGGTCATTATTCTGCCGGTGAATTGTACGGGAACATTGGCTGGTGATATTTGGTCATTTGGTCATTCGACAATTTCAAATCTGGAAGCCGATTCTCTGCTACTGTGGGTGCATGTATTCATTGCAATTGCTTATGTACCATTGGTGGTGCTAATAATGCGTCGTACATCTGGTCGAAATGCATTCAAAACGGCTGCATCACGTACCGTTATGATAACAGATTTATCGAAAAGTGATCGATGCAAAAACAAAGAAGAAATTTTAAATTATTTCCAAGAGCTATTTCCCGATATAAAAATCGATGCATTCGAATTGGCATACAATATATCACGATACACTGAAGTGTGTAAAGAATTTGAACGCGTATCAGATGCACGAATTTATTGTGAAATGCATAAGAATCATCGGCCAGTGCGGGCAATGCCACGTTTATGTTCATGTCAAACGGTCGATGGTTTAGAATATTACAAAGATATGGAAGAACGTTTACGCGGTGAAGTGGCCAGATTGAGAGCGCATGCAATGAATGAACCGGTCGGTATTATCTTTTTAACGGTGAACACAACAGATGTTGCAAAACGTATTATTGGACAATTTAAGGGCATCAGCAATAAAGACTGGAATTTAAGCTATGCACCATCACCGGCCGACATTTTTTGGGAGAATTTGAATATACCGGCACATAAATGGTATATCAAATGGACCATTGTCAATTTGATTTTGTTTTCGTTTTTATTCTTTTTAACAACGCCCGTGCTTATTGTCAATTTATTCGATAAAATTACAACGAAAACAAAAAAAAATATGGACACAATTAGCCCATTGATATCGGAATTTTTACCAACATTGTTACTTTGGACATTGGCCGCTCTGTTGCCGGTTGTTGTAACATTTTCCGATAAATGGCTATCACATTGGACCCGCTCCAAACAAAATTATTCAATCATGACAAAAACATTTATCTACTTGCTGTTTATGATTTTGATTTTACCATCAATGGGTATGACCAGTGCTCAAGCGTTTGTTGAATGGACGATTCAACACAATGCGAACGATACATATCATTGGGAATGTATATTTTTACCCGATAAAGGTGCATTTTTCGTAAATTATATCATAACAGCTGCATTTATTGGAACAGCATTGGAGCTACTACGATTTCCTGAGCTCATTGTTTATATGTATCAATTGTGTGTGGCCAAATCACGGGCCGAAACATCACACATTCGAAAATCAATTCTTATCGAATTTCCGTTTGGCATTCATTATGCATGGACGGTGCTGGTTTTTACAATGTCAACCATTTACAGTGTTATTTGTCCCTTGATTATGCCATTTGCAATGATTTATATTGTTTTAAAGCATTATGGTGATCGACACAATTTATACTTTGCATATGGACCAAGTAATATGATTAGCCAGAGCGGAGGTCGTATTCATTCAACAGCTGTTACCATGACAAAATGTTCGGTGGTTTTATTGCTGTAAGTTGATTTCTTAGAATAAACGAACAAAAAAAAAAACGATCACACTAAAATTCAACGAATTTCAGTGTTTTGCACAAAAATGTTCGAATTAATTGGATTTTTTTTTGTTTCAGTGTAATTTTGGCTGGCTTGTCATCGGTGCGTGGTGGCCGAGTAGATGCACGTACCATTGTCTTAGTTATGTAAGTTCATTAAATATGAAATGAGTAATTTGTTCACACACACCTCAGAAACCATGACTAATCTATCTTTTTGTTTCTCTCAATTTATTGACACAAACCATGCAGTGCCTTATGTGTAACATTAACCCTGTTCACATTTATGTCGCCAATTAAGAAGTGTACAACGCGACGACCAAATATTCATGAAATTGATGGGCCAGCACCGGTGTACGTGGCACCGGTGTTACGCAATAGGCGCTTAGAATTAGCAATTAAACAACATCAAACACCGACACATGCCAGCTTTGGTTCAGATGAAGTCGACATCGATGATATTATAATAAACAATATGGGCGAGGATTCGCCAATACGAGGCAATCGAGTTCGCAACATTCATACGTAATTTCATATATGTAGACATAAAATATATAATTGTACACTAGCATTCATGCATCGAGATTAATAATAATAATGATAATAATCGACGCGCCGTGTAGGTCCCTCCACCCTCCCAGCAAAAAGCTAAACTTACATTTTAATTTAAAGAATGTTTTAAGGGAAAATTAACATAGTGATAACTTATGAGACAACATTTTCGTTTATTGCAGAATGTGTTGTGTCCGAAAAAGAACCGAAAATAATTTGCTACACAATCGTCTTTGATACTGATTTTTTACATGTATATCATAGTGTATTAAATTATTACTTTTTTTTATTTGTTTTCTGTGTTGGTTGATTATGTATGTTTTTCAATAGGAATTGAAAAAAAACACATCCACATTTATTGCTGATAATGCCTTATAAATTTATCCTGAATCTCGACTCAATTCCTCTCTACTTAAAAAAAAGGATGTTACGTTCCCCACTGAAAATTAAAAAAAAAAATAGAAAAAATATATATTGATAGAAACACGTGTAAATAATTTTTGCAAATATTGCAGCGATAGCAGCTAATATATATAGTTTTGTATAATATCTATGGGTAAAGAAAAGCATACCATTTTTGTAAGGTCGGAGACTGTACCCACTAATAAAGGAGTGAAAAAAACGATGAATAAATGTTTTCAGCAGATGCATGTCTCCATTTTTGCATTCATACACAATCTCCGGTCGAAAAAATGGTTAAAAAGACAGACCCTTCACCCATAGTCGTGTACATTGAGTTATTTTAATTTAGATGCAGATTTTTTTTCGTCACCGTTTGTTTAATGTTTAATTTATTTCACACGGCGATTAAACAATCAAATCTAATTTATTTATTGACTTGCCGAATAATTTATGAACATGAAAAAAGACACCAACACATACACGAAAAAAAGAGAAAAACTCGTAATGCATGTTATTAAAATATGTATATAACTATTTATCAATTATTCAAATCTCGTGTCCAAATACAATACACCCCATAGTACATAGTCCGCACTTTTCCTACCACATTTATTTTCATTTCATTTTAAAAAAATACTTAATTAAAACCACATACACGAGAGTGCAAACATTTGCAAAATCTTAACATTTATAAAGTATTTAGTTGAATCAATTAAATAAAAAAAAAATGGAGATCGAAAACGGTGCAATGTTTTGAAACATGAAAATTCCAGTAATTTAAATAATTAGTAATAAAATAATCCACCGCATTTTCAAATTTTTGCACAAGACTTAAGCAAAAAATTAAAAATGATGAAAATAAAAAAAAATAATTTTGAAGGAAAATCCAAAAAAGTGCGGGCTAATGTAGTAAACAATGTAGTGAATAAGAGCACGCAAAAAAAAAAAAATGCAATATGATATGTCCATATTGGTGGTCACTACTTTCCATTCTCGTTCAACTGGCTGAGCTGAGAAAATAAAATATCCACATGTAGGTTCAGGGACCGGGTCGCATATAGAATTATTTATACTTTGAATAAACGCAGACGCAACATATCCGTCGCTGTTCGCTTTGTGCTGCGCTCAATAAATACAATGCGTGCGTCACTCGATGGTCACATGCACACACGAACGTGTATTCGCATGCTTCATACATAGCGAACAGCGATGGATATGTTGCGTCTGCGTTTATACTTTGTATACATAGCTGGGCAGACTGAAAAATCCAGGGGGGATTGGGGGGGTAATTTTCTCAAAAACTCCTAGAAAAATAGGAAAATTTCATCTATGATCCAAAAACCCTAGCAAAATGAGAAAAATTCTATCCAAAATCATGAATTTTGTAAAGGGGTAACGCAAAAATTTGATGATTTTGTAAAGGGGCAACGCCAAAATTTGATGTCTCAGGAGGGGGTAATCCCTCCTCCCCCCTCCCCCCTGTCTGCACAGCTAGGTTTGTATAATTATGCTGCCTGCGTTTTTTATGCTAGTATAAAATTATACGCAACCCGGTCCCTGTGTAGGTTTTAAAATGCGATCGAGCAAATATTTGACATCAGCTCAACGCGCATAATATATTTCTTTTTTTGTTTGTATGTTACTGTCGATATTTTTTTTTAAAAATGCTCGAAAATTGACTAGATGACGATGGATGCAATTTGTCTAAAATTTTCTTTAAATATCCATTTCAAATCGATATTGAACACGATCATTAGATCAACGAAATTGAAATTTCAAAGTAATTGAAAAAATTAATCGAAATATTAAAAACGATCTGACTAAACTAATTGTAAATAGAAGCAATCGCAAATACACATTCAATACTAAGAATCTATCGAATTGAAATAGCGCTTCGCTTTACTAATACCTATGAACTGAATTTTAGTTGATTCAATGAAAAGTTTTTTTCTTTGTGTTTCCTTTCTCATCACTCGGATTTTGAAATTTTATTTATATATTGAATTTGAATTATTTTTATAAAAACAATAACCTATTTAATACTTTTACATAGAAAAAATGTTATACGACTTTTTGCACCGTATAAACCAGTGTATTATAAGTAGTATTGTTGTATTATTATTATTTTCGTCAAAAATGAAATTCGATGGCCTGAAGTAAGAAGCAAAAATGTACCCTGTGTTATAATAACCTTTTTTTGTAAATTATTTTTCTGTAATAAATGGAAAAGCCTAAATAAAATGGAATAACTTCTAATGAAAATGTGTTTTGTTGACGGGACCCTTTATTGATGATACCGGAATCTTAAGGAATTTGTCATTTTAGGTGTGGATTTATTTGTAGTAATTAGTCAGAATCCGATGAGACGCCGCTTGGTACCTTTGAATTGCCATTGTTAAAGACTCGTCCACGATAAATAACACTATTTTTATCGGTTTCGTAAACTTTCACCTCGTACAACAATTCCGGGCGATGCATACGTTTTGTTAAATTTTGCCAAATAAATACGGCAACGTTTTCAGTTGTGCTTGGCTGCGTTGATAAAAAATAAAATTCAGTATGAAAATTACTTTTATGTTCCTTTTCTTGTTTAAAAAAAAAAACAGATTTGATTCTTTACAATGTGCATTACCTGAACTTTAAAGAATTCAATGTCTTTGTCCAAATTCTTATGGTCTAATGGTTTCATTATTGCTTGTTCCATGTGCTCCTTCAATTCATTTATGTTCATAACCATGCCGGTTTTTCTGTCAACAACTCCACGTATGGTAACTTCAACTAGTTTTTTTTTTATTTAAATAAATAAGATGCAATGAGAAATAAATGGCAATCAATTTTATAAAGCACACCTGTGTAATTGTGACCATGTCCATTAATGTGATTGCATTTCCCGTAAACCACTTGATTTTCTTCATCGGTCAAATCTTTGCTGTAATCAAATGTTGACTTGAGTACATTGTTTTCATGTATGCATGTCAATCTAATTGTTTGTGATATTACCTGTGCAAGCGATGACATGCGCTAAAAGTTTCTTTTCGTGTAAGATATGCGATTGGCAGAGACATTTTAAAAGTATACTCTTCGTAGAATATTGATAAATTAGAATGTAGCGTGATCACTCTTGTCAAAATTAAATAGAAACACCTCGTAGACTAGATAAAAACAATTCAATGGAAATGTATTTTATTTTTAAGCAAAAAAAAATTCCGATCGCGTACAGAAAATGGTGTTTATGAATAGATAACAATGTAAAGAGACAAAGACAACTGGAAGCTAACAAGTGTTTGCATTTATCTTAAGTGTCATGTTGTTTCTCTACAAACAGCGACCATATGAGAAAGCATCAATATGAACTAGCATTCACACGCACGCACACACAGCCACACACACACACACATATATATATATATGTGTTATATATATACAAAATGTCACACACAAATACTAAAAAAGACGATTTAAAAAAAATGTTGTTGCAATTTCAAAAGTTTTTTCGTTATCATATCTCATATCACCGAGCTCAGACACGATTTATTTTGAATGTGATTCGGTAATTTCATCAAATTTGCTAAAGTTTCAATGTGTCATTTGAAATGGATTTTTCATTTTTTATTTTAAAATATCGAATATTCACTATATGGATGTAAATGAATGAGAGATCATTTGGTCAATGGAAGACGTCTATTTTTGCTATTGGAATGTTTATTTTTTAATTCCATAGAATTGGCATGTTATTTCGTTTGAATAATTTTCCGCCTCAATTATATTTACAGATTAAATATACCCAAGGTCATGGTCATTGCATCTAATTAATGCGAAAAAAAATGATTGAAACGCAGAAATTCCCTTATACATACACACGCATACCAGCACACGCAATAAATTTGACATTTCGTTTCGTATTCTATACTAGAAAGTAGACGAATTGTCACACTGACATATTGTTTACATATTTCCCAAGTCTCTATTTGAATTGTTCTATTCCCAGTGACCGAAAAATGATGTAGAAAAAAAATCATGATTGCGACGTCATATCCATTTAGTACGTTTGAATCTTCAACACGGAATGTTTATTCCGCCGTCGATTCGATACGCAAAGTACGTATAACACAAAATCGGATTTCAGTGTAAATCAATAAGTGGCGTTAGACAGTCGCAAAGTTATTTCTTTTCCCCTTCTCAGAGCAGAGCTGAAGGAATATTCATTTTTACATTGAATGACATCATCCGTTAACGATTTTAGTGCAAATTGAGCATTAAATAACAAAACAAAAACAAATCGAATGATAGAATTTCAAAACGATGCGAAATAAATAAATACACAAAATTCATTTATTTATTATTGTAGTGGAATTTGATTGATAAATAACAACAAACATTACCGCTATTTTATCATAACACCTTGAATTAGATATTGTTGACACAGGGTTTAAGTTGTGCATTCAATTTTTGAAAGAAATTTAGAAAAGAGCCGGGATAGTGACATTTATCTGAACAATGGATAACGAAGTGGAAATAATTGAGCCAGTTGAACGTAGTGTAGATTTGCGAAGCATTGACACAACAGACTTCATGCAAACTGATGCCAACGATGCAGAACGATGTGCTGAAAAGTTTTTCTATACAATCATTGCGCCGAAAAAGATTCGTGGAAATTCCAACTATACATTTAATTTAAGCATTCACGATGCAAAATGTGAATTTGATGAGCCAGTTGTGGTCCGTGTATCGATCGAAGATGAAAATGATGAAAATGGCTATAAGATTCATCGTGATGTTACAATGCAACCAAATACAACCGAATTTGTGTCGATTCCAATTGGTGATCTGTCACCCGAAGCAGACTATAAACTCGTTGTGAAAGGCATTACTGGTGTTACTCTAGAACGTGAAGTAGAGCTGGATCTTCAAACTCAAACGCATACAATTCTCATTCAAACGGACAAAGCCATTTACAAACCAAATGACTGCATCAAATTCCGAGTTTTGGTTCTAAATTCGGAGCTAAAGGCAGCCACAATCGATCAAAATGAACTGATTATTTCATTCAATGTAAGTATTTAGCGTTTTATTTACGCTTTCTCGGCGGTGGCCACAAAGAAAATTTATTCATTGTAATAAGTATTCACGTAACAATCCGTGTGATGTCATTCATGTCAATGCTATAGCAATAAAAATCTATGAGTAATTTTTGATATATTATGATTGTTATCGTTCACATTTCACCCGATAAGGACCCATGCCGTAATATTATGAAAAAATGGAATGGAGTAAACACAATAAATGGTGTTTTTTCGAGCGAATTTCAACTGTCAGACGTACCAAATTTCGGTGAATGGAAAATCACAGCTGCCATTGGCGATCAGGTTTGTTTGTTTTTCTTCGCTTATTTGCATCGAAATCACATCATTTTTCGCTACAATATTGCGTACATTCATAAAATCACGCTAATGTCAAATTAATTGTGATGATTCATCATTGATGAACAAACTTTTTTAAAAAAAAGATACGAGAAATATAGTTCAGAACATTTTTATATTCAAGTTTGCATGAGTAAGGTGAAACTTTTTTTTGTACACATTGTCATTATTTGCTTTCAATGTTCACTTGAACATTTAAATTTGATGTCGATATATAGTTAAAATTGATATTTTGCTGGAATTGCGAAAACTTTTAACTATCTCTATATGATGACATTCCATTCGTTTGATATATTTGTTTTTCGAAATCGATGTCTTTGAAAATGAATTCATTGTTTTTTTTTTTCAAGCCAAACATACACCATACGAATGTCAACAAGAAATATTTTCAGTAAAATCATAAACTAAATGCGAATTCAAAAGCACAAATCTGTTTTTGTGAGTTTTCAAAGCGATGGAAATGCACAAATGAAACGAGATTGTTGTTTAAATATTATCGATTCTCCCGGCGGATTTTCGTTTATATTTTATGCAAATTATGATTGACATAACATAGTTAAGTTGAATACCAGTTGAAACTTAGTCCAAACAAAACTTTCAACTCCTTAGGTGAAAATAGCTGTAATCGAGGTGGCCGAATATGTATTGCCGAAGTTCGAGACATTAATTGAGTCGTCGGACAGTTTTACCATTACCGATGAAAAGGTTCGAGCAGTGATCCGTGCAAAATATACACATGGTAAACCGTTGAGAGGATTGGCAACAGTCACAGTCACCGAAGACGACCCATTTGGAAATTATTACATTCGAAAGCCACAATCGAAAAAAAATAAACAAGATGATGACGACAATAATTTGGTGAAAAAGTCATTCAATATCGATGGCGAAGAAACCATTGAATTTGACATAAAAAATGAATTGAAATTTGACTTAACCGAAAAGGATAAATGGCTTGATGTGAAAAACTATAAAATCAAAGTTGAAGTAACCGAAGGCCTAACTGGATTGACACAAACCACCGATAAAACGATCAAAATTCACAAGAACACCTATCAAATTACCACTGATCTTCATACCAATGGACCGAAACGGGACACTCCGTGTGACATTAATGTATGAATTTATATTCAATTATGAACATATTCGATGCAAATTAAAATATTAATATTTTTTTCAAATTTATTGAATGTATAGATTTCTGTACGAAAAGCCGATGGCACTGTACTCAAATTCATCGATCCGAATAAAAAGAAGATCACAGTGATCAGAGAACGATTTTATACAAACGTTGATGAAAGCACCACAGACGAAAGTGTCCATGAATTGGATGAGACGGGTGATGCATATTTTGCAATGGATGTTGAGAAAAATGAATCTAGCTTCTCAATAAAGGTAAGGGCCGAGGATTGACTTGAACATTTCGGATTTTTGTGTTCATTTTCAATCAATTTTCGATCAGGTGAAATATGCTGGCCAGGAAACAGATTTGGGAATGTTCTATAGTACATCGTTCACTGTGGCCGATCGAATCAGTTTGCGTGCAAAAGTCTTAACGGAACAGTGAGTTGAAAATGCTTAAAATTTGCTTTAACTTCTGATTGGCAAATGTTTTCGAATTTTACTTTCAGATGCTCCATCAATAAACCACTCGAGGTCGAGGTCATGTCACACTATCCGTTTTCGTCTTATACTTATCTAATTGTTTGTCGTGGAAAAATTCTTGAAACAAAGACCGTTGTGCCGGCCTTCACGGACACCGATGCCAGTGAATATACGCATCGATTCACATTCATACCCACTTTTGATTATGCACCACAGGCTCAAATTATTGTTTACTGTGTGAGAGATAATGCAATTGTTAGTGCCACACAGACAGCTGACTTGTACGACGATTTTAAAAATTTCATCGATTTGGATGTTGCACCAAATACCGCTAAACCTGGTCAAATCGTTGATATTAATGTCAAAAGTAATCCAAATTCATATATCGGTTTGCTTGGCATCGATAAGAGTGTAATGCTTTTACGTGGCGGAAATGATTTGGCCCGTGATGGAATCTGGAACGAATTGGAATTATTCAGTTCAGAAGTGAAGCGACGAAGCTATATTTATGAAAACAAAAAAACACGAAATTGCTATTATTCAAATGCATGGGAAGACTTTTCAGTAAGTACATGCACATTTTCATTTGTTTTTGGTTTTGTTGCTTGAATTAATTCATAAATAAAATCAATCATTATTTTTCTGCAGAAAGCCAATTTAATCACGCTTACAAATACTCTTGAGCCAATTCCAATTCGACTCTATTGCAAAATGATGGCATGTGATGTTCGTTCATCATGTTTTTCAGAACCAGAAGGTGGCAATAAACCAATAATTCGCCAAGATTTCCCAGAAACATGGATATGGGATTCAATTGCGGATAAAAGGTGATTTACAATATTTTCATAAAATGTTAACCGTTTTGAAGGAATTGTATTAATTTTATGGTCTCCTGTTTCAGTTTCAATGGATCGCTAAGTCTCAAGCGAAAAGTTCCTGATTCTTTAACAACGTGGGTGTTAACCGGTTTTTCAATCTGTCCAATCAATGGTTTGGCATTAACGAAAAAACCATCGGAACTATGTGTTCAACAGCCCTTCCATGTTTCGCTTAATTTACCATTTTCAGTGAAGCGTGGTGAAGTTCTAACGGTTCCGTGCTCAATTTTCAATTATTTACCAAATCAAATTGAAACCGAAATCATTTTCGAAAATGAGCACAATGAATTTGAGTTTGTGGATGCAAGTGTCGATGATAAAATCTATCCAGAAATTAGAAAACAAACATCTCGCAAAAAGAAACTGACCATTCTTTCTGATGATGCGATGAACGCATTCTTCACCATTCGTCCGACCAAAGTTGGTGTGATTTCGTTGAAAGTGTCAGCCATATCTGAAACAGCAAGTGATTGCCTGATCAAGACACTGAATGTTGAGTGTGAGGGTGTGCCACAATTCGTGAATAAGGCCGTATTTGTGGATTTACGTGAAAAATCTCAAATCGAACCAATCGATGTGGCAATCGAAATTCCAAAAACTGCACTGCCCGATTCAACGCGCAT